TAAGCGATCGAGTCTATTCTCTTTAGAATAGCGGGAGCTTAAGCGATCGAGTCTATTCTCTTTAGAATAGCGGGAACTTAAGCGATCGAGTCTATTCTCTTTAGAATAGCGGGAGCTTAAGCGATCGAGTCTATTCTCTTTAGAATAGCGGGAGCTTAAGCGATCGATAATATTCTCTTTAGAATAGCGGGAGCTTAAGCGATCGATAATATTCTCTTTAGAATAGCGGGAGCTTAAGCGATCGATACTATTCTCTATAGAATAGCGGGAGCTTAAGCGATCGAGTCTATTCTCTTTAGAATAGCGGGATCTTAAGCAATCGAGTCTATTCTCTTTAGAATAGCGGGAGCTTAAGCGATCGAGTCTATTCTCTATAGAATAGCGGGAGCTTAGCGATCGAGTCTATTCTCTTTAGAATAGCGGGAGCTTAAGCGATGGAGTCTATTCTCTTTAGAATAGCGGGAGCTTAAGCGATGGAGTCTATTCTCTTTAGAATAGCGGGAGCTTAAGCGATCGATACTATTCTCTATAGAATAGCGGGAGCTTAAGCGATCGATACTATTCTCTATAGAATAGCGGGAGCTTAAGCGATCGATACTATTCTCTATAGAATAGCGGGAGCTTAAGCGATCGATACTATTCTCTATAGAATAGCGGGAGCTTAAGCGATCGATACTATTCTCTATAGAATAGCGGGAGCTTAAGCGATCGATACTATTCTCTATAGAATAGCGGGAGCTTAAGCGATCGATACTATTCTATATAGAATAGCGGGAGCTTAAGCGATCGATACTATTTCCTATAGAATAGCGGGAGCTTAAGCGATCGATACTATTCTCTATAGAATAGCGGGAGCTTAAGCGATCGAGACTATTTCATATAGAATAGCGGGAGCTTAAGCGGTTGAGACTATTCTCTATAGAATAGCGGAGCTTATTCTCTTTAAAAGAGCTGGGGCTCTAGCGTTCGGGTATATTCTCTTTAGAATAGCTGGAGCTCTAGCGATCGAGACTATTCTCTTTAAAATAGCTGGATCTTTAGCGATCGAGACTATTCTCTTTAGAATAGCTGGAGTTCTAGCGATCGAGTCTATTCTCTTTAGAATAGCTAGAGCTCTAGCGATCGAGTCTATTCTCTTTAGAATAGCTAGAGCTCTAGCGATCGAGTCTATTCTCTTTAGAATAGCTAGAGCTCTAGCAATCGAGTCTATTCTCTTTAGAATAGCTGGAGCTCTAGCGATCGAGACTATTCTCTTTAAAATAGCTGGATCTTTAGCGATCGAGACTATTCTCGTTAGAATAGCTGGAGTTCTAGCGATCGAGTCTTTTCTCTTTAGAATAGCTAGAGCTCTAGCGTTCTAGTCTATTCTCTTTAGAATAGCTGGAACTCTAGCGATCAAGTCTATTCCCTTTAGAATAGCTGTACCTCTAGAAATCAGGTCTATTCTCTTTAGAATAACTGGAGCTTTAATATTCAGACCTTTACTATATCTGGAGCTTTAGCTTTCGAGTCTATTCCCTTTAAAATAGTGAAGCTTTATAGATCGAGTTGTTATCTTTAGAATAACTGGAACTATAGAAAAGCCGTAGTTTATATCGAGTTTATTGTAGGGTTTTATTAGAGCCTTGATGATCGACAGACGTTTTTTCCATTGATCTTATATTTAAGGAAGAAGCTGAGTAATAAATTAAACAACTAAAGAGAACTGCATTAAAATTATATATAATTTTTGGTCATATATTTTTTGCGTTTGTAATCACTGAACTATATACAATTTATATGTCCATTGTGTCAGACATAGCCGGCCTAGTAACGAGAACTGAAACGAACTTAAATCTAAAATATTAAACAAGTTCTTGTTAAGACTCGCCCTTTAACTTTATTTTGAAATTTTTGGTTTTGAATTTTTTTTTTTAAATTGCCGTGCCTTAGTTTGGCCCTAACAGCTTTTAGGAAGAACAATACAGAGGGATGCTTTCTGTATTTCTGTATCTGTAACTACATCTGCTGAGCGAGAATGTATCTGTTTGGGTCCTTGTTGTAGTTGTTAATTTTAAACATTTTTTACAATTTATCGGCGATAATGATTTTATGGCTTATAGCCTCTAGATCATTAAACTGATTTCATAGTTTAACTTTAGTAGATTGATTTTTTCTTTATCTGTGTGTGTGTGTCTGCTGCAGCATGTTAAATTCAGTTTTAGTTGCACAACTAATGTTGGGTACTAAAAGGGATCTCTTGCTTTACAAGCATTGTTACTGCTGCTGCATTGATATTTGGTTTAGCGGGTACAATAGTCATAAGGACTGCTTGCCTGTCTGTCTGTCTTTCTAGATGTCAGTTAGTAATATTGCCTTCCTATAGAATGGACTATTTTGTTTTACATTTATACTGGCACTGCCGCAGAGCCGCAGATGCCAGGACTAGAAGTAAAATATATTGTGTAAAATGCCAGAGTGTGTAAAATGTCTGATGTACATGAAACTCTACATGAAGTAGTTAAAATTGTACTCGTAGTTGGAATTTTGGAATACAACATTTACAACTGTCTACAAAGAGAAGCATGCAACAAGGAGTACTAGTAGTAGTAGTGGTTGTAGCATTTATGCTGGCGGTGTAGGTTGTACCGATATCTTGTTTTTTGATTCGTGTTGTTTGTAATTTTCTGCTTATCATGAGTTACAATTATTTTATGCCCCTTTAGTTTCGTTTGCTTTTGCTATAAATTTTCTTAATACATTTTTGCATTTTATTCTTATTTTTTTTGTTATTTTTATCGATTTTAGTTTTTTTTCTTTCTTTTCAGACTGTTGTTCTTTAATACAAAATATTGTATTAAGATAATAAAACAACGCAAATTTTTTACAATTTGGTATGCGTATTAAATAAAACACGTCGTAGTTGTGTTAAAAAAAGAAACTCAAATTATTCGTGCCATGTCTTGGGTGTTTTTCTGGCTTTTTTTTTGTGGGAAAACTTATTTGCAACCTTGTATCGTATTTATTGATAAGAGTTTGAAAAAACAAACCTAAAATAGATAATAGATTTTTTAAAACTGATTACAGAAGTTTTTTTGTTGTTTATTTTTCGAAACGTTGTGTATATGCGGTTTCTTTTGCTGGCTGAAAGACAGAGTGACAGGAAATAAAAGGGACTAACAACGATCAGACAATTCTTTCTAGAATAGCGGGAGCTTAAGCTATCTATACTATTCTCTATAGAATAGCGGGAGCTTAAGCGATCGATACTATTCTCTATAGAATAGCGGAAGCTTAAGCGATCGATACTATTCTCTATAGAATAGCAAGAACTTATGCAATCGATACTATTCTCTATAGAATAGCAGGAGTTTAAGTGATCGATACTATTGTTTATAGAATAGCAAGAGCTTAAGCTATCGATACTATTCTCTATAGAATAGCGGGAGCTTAAGCGATCGATACTATTCTCTATAGAATAGCGGGAGCTTAAGCGATCGATACTATTCTCTATAGAATAGCGGGAGCTTAAGCGATCGATACTATTCTCTATAGAATAGCAGGAGTTTAAGAGATCGATACTATTGTTTATAGAATAGCAAGAGCTTAAGCTATCGATACTATTCTCTATAGAATAGCGGGAGCTTAAGCGATCGATACTATTCTCTATAGAATAGCGAGAGCTTAAGCAATCGATACTATTCCCTATAGAATAGCGGAAGCTTAAGCGATCGATACTATTCTCTATAGAATAGCGGGAGCTTAAGCGATCGAGACTATTCTCTATAGAATAGCAGGAGTTTAAGCGATCGATACTATTCTCTATAGAATAGCGGGAGCTTAAGCGATCGATACTATTCTTTATAGAATAGCGGAAGCTAAAGCGATCGGAACTATTCTCTATAGAATAGCGGGAGCTTAAGCGATCGATACTATTCTCTATAGAATAGCGGGAGCTTAAGCGATCGATACTATTCTCTATAGAATTGCGGGAGCTTAAGCGATCGATACTATTCTCTATAGAATAGCGGTAGCTTAAGCGATCAATACGATCCTCTATAGAATGTCGGGAGCGATCGTAACAATAGCTGAAGCTTAAGCGATCGAGACTATTCTCTGTATTTTAGATGGAGCTTCAGCGACCGTGACTAATCTCTATAGATTAGTAGGAGCTTATGCGATCGATACTGTGACTAATCTCTATAGAATAGCTGGAGCTAAAGCGATCCAGACTATTCTCTATAGAATAGCTGGAGCTAAAGCGATCGTGACTATTCTTTATAAAAGAGCTGGAGCTTAAGCGAACGTGACTATTCTCAATATTTTACATGGAGCTTAGGCGATTGTGACTAATCTTTATAGAATAGCTGGAGCAAAAACGATCGTGACTATTCTCTATAGAATAGCTGAAGCTTCAACGATTCGTGTATTCTACATAGAACAACTGAAGCTTTAGCGATCAGTCTATACTATATAGAATAACTGATCCTTTAGCGGTCAGTCTATTCTATATAGAATAGCTGAAGCTTTGGCGATCAGTCTATTCTATATAGAATAGCTGAATCTTTAGCGATCACTCTATTCTATATAGAATAGCTGAATCTTTAGCGATCAGTCTATTCTATATAGAATAGCTGAATCTTTAGCGATCACTCTATTCTAATAGAGCTTTAGCGATCAGTCTATTCTATACAGAATAGCTGAAGCTTTAACGATCAGTCTATTCTATATAGAATAGCTGAAGCTTTAGCGATCAGTCTATTCTATATAGAATAGCTGAAGCTTTAGCGATCAGTCTATTCTATATAGAATAGCTTAAGCTTTAGCGATCAGTCTATTCTATATAGAATAACTGAAGCTTTAGCGATCAATATATTCTGTATAGAATAGCTGAAGCTTTAGCGATCAGTCTATTCCGTATAGAATAGCTGAAGCCTTAGCGATCAGTCTATTCCGTATAATTTCAGAATAATTTCAATATTTATAACTTAATATTTTCAAAAATTTATTCCTCCACTTACCATCATCGACCGCCTGATGTGATTTCTCATTACTGCTGCCCTTTTTACCACGATACTTATCGTTGGGATGTACAACAACATTATTCAATATCGATTCATCACCTTCATTGATGTCAGCATTGTCATCAATATCCCCAGCATCTCCACCATCACCAGCATTATTTGGTTCATCAGGTTGAGCAATAGGAACATCGGCAGCCACCCCTTCGCCACCATCATCATCATCGATTTCATTACCACCTCCACCATGCTGAGCATTATTGTTGCGTTCTAAGACCACATTATTACCAACACCAAAACCACCACCTGCCTCAAATATTCCGGCACCGTCACGCTCAAAATTATCGATTTGATTGTTAGCATTACCAGAACCGGCACCGGCTAAACTTTTTAGCTGCTGAGACATGGCACTCCATTTATTGCTGGCGGTTTCGCGTCTTGTATCATCGGTATAGATGAAGAAGGCAACAAAGAACCAAATGGCTGTCAAAACAGCAATAATTTTCACTATTGAAGTGGAGCGACGACGCCATATGAAAGCCATCTTGTTTAGAGTTTTTGTTGTATGTTGGAAGAGTGTTGTGTGAAAGGATTAGAAAAGTTTTGGTTTTGTAGAGAAAAAGTTTAGGCGAAAGTTTGTCTTGTTTTAAAAATATTTTTCTAGCTGGAACTATTTTGTGACATGTCGTTGTGTGTGTGTGTTGTTAGGACTTTTAATTGCAGTTGGCAGCTTTTATTGTTTTGTTTAGTTTTTTCTTTTTTTTATTCAACTTAAACAGGAAGCAGGATATGTTAGGGTGTGTTTAAGTAGCAGTATGAGTGTGTAATGTTTTCCTGTTTTGTTAAAATTTTATTTAACACAATAATAATTTGTTTTTTTCTTTCTCTCTCTTAAAGCTTTAAAAGCAATTCCATTGTTATTGTTGTATATATGTTTTGTTATTACACAATGTATAAAACTGTTTCCTTTTTCCGTTTTAAGGAGTTTCTTTTGCTCTCGCTTCTTTCTCTCTCTCCCTTTCCGTTTATCTAGTTTATCTCTAAATTGCGATATGTAAGTGTTTGTGTTTCCTTTTCTCTTTTATTTTTGTAATTTATTGTTGTTTTTGTGCTTTTATGCCTTTGGCTTGATTATGTGTCCCTTTTTTAATGTCTTGTTATTGTTGTCCCTTCTTTTTATGATTTTTCTTTATTACAGTTTCTCTGTTGTAGTATTTTAAATTTGTTTCTTCCTTGTTTGTTAGGGACTTTCTACCTCGACTTTTGTTATTGTTGTTATTATTGTTATTCTTGTTGTAATTTTGTGTCCGTATATGTTGTGCCTTGACATTTGTTGGCTTTTTTTCTATTTTACAATTTCTACTGGTTCCTTCCTCTCGCTCTCTCCTTCACTCTGTGAAACGTATTTTTAATTGTTTTTTTGCTTTTAATTGTTTTGGGCCATTTACTTAAATACTCTCGAGTACTTTTTTATGTAAAAGAGCTTTAAGTATCAACCCGCGTTCCCATAGACTTGTTGAATCATTCTGTAAATAAATTAGAAAAGAACAAACAATAGAATAATTAATATGAATAGCTGCTATAAGAGTTTAAATTTATATTAAAATGTTAAAAAAAAGTGGAGGAAAATGGACAGAGTGACCGAAACTTTTCTGTTTAGAATAGTGGGAGCTTTAGTGATCGGAACAGTTCTCTTCAAAATCTTGACCATTCTCTTTAGCGATTAAGTCTATTCTCTTTAGTCAAAGACAGTTTATTCTCATAGAATAGCTGGAGCTTAAGAGAGCGAGACTATTCTCTATAGAATAGCTGGAGCTTTAGTAATCAGAGTATTCTGTAGAGAATAGCTAAAGCTTTAGCGATCAGTCTATTCTCTATAGAATAACATGAGCTTTAACGATTAGTCTATTCTGTATAGAATAGCTTGAGCTTTAGCGATCAGTCTATTCTGTATAGAATAGCTGGAGCTTTAGCGGTCAGTCTACTCTGTATAGAATAGCTTGAGCTTTAACGATCAGTCTATTCTCTATAGAATAGCTTGAGCTTTAGCGATCAGTCTATTCTCTATAGAATAGCTTGAGCTTTAGCGATCAGTCTATTCTCTATAGAATAGCTAGAGCTTTAGCGATCAGTCTATTATCTATAGAATAGCTAGAGCTTTGGCGATCAGTCTATTCTCTATAGAATAGCTAGAGCTTTAACGATCGAGTCTGTTCTCTATAGAATAGCAGGACTATAGCGATCAGTATTCTACAGTGAATAGACTCGATCTTCAAAGTCTATACTCTATAGAATAGCAGGAGCTTTAACGACCGAGTCTGTTCTCTATGGAATAGCAGTAACATTAGTGATCGAGACTATTCTCTATGGAATAGCGATAGAGGTTATTCTCTATTGAACTGCTGAAGCTTTAGCGATCTTCAATATAATAAAATTTCCAACAAAAACCTCTAACAAATAAACACCTATTCTAAAAGTGTTTTAAACGACTGTTTTAAATACCGTCATTAAAATAAGCTTAAAGCTAACACAAACTTAATTAACTACAAACAATAAAAAAAAAACACAAAAACTAATTGTCAATCAATTAAAGCCAAACAGCGCGAACAACTCTAAACAACTTGTCATGTTCCGAACAAATGCAAAATGCAATAAAGTTACAAGACTCATTTCGAAAAAAACGAAATAAGATAAAGAAGTTTTTAAAAGTGTCATTAACAACGTAAAAGACAGTTTAAAATTGTTAATTTCACAGGGATTTGTTTAGGCTTAGAGATAAATTGTGTTTTTTTTTTAACGACAATCCTGCAAAAGAGTAATGGAAAATGTGTTTTCTTCCTCATTTCTTACCAAATACCGGACCTTTTGATTCGTTAAAACATTTGATTGTTGTATTTAATTGAAGTTATTTATTTAAAGACGTTGTGCTTACAATAAAATTTACTGCCAAGATTAAATAGATTTTTTTATAGCTTTCGGTTGCAATATCAATCTTAACTCGTAAGCAGAGGTTGCAGGGAATCTAATCATTAAGAAGTTTTACTCACAATAGACAATATTAGTCCATTGTCTAGTCTATAGTTTAGTTTATAGTCTTGTTTATAGTCTAGTTTATAGTCTAGTTTATAGTCTAGTCTATAGTCTATTCTATAGTCGATTCTATAGTCTAGTCTATAGTCTAGTCTATAGTCTAGTCTATAGTCTAGTCTAGTCTAAAGTCTAGTCTATAGTCTAGTCTATAGTCTAGTCTATAGTCTAGTCTATAGTCTAGTCTATAGTCTAGTCTATAGTCTAGTCTATAGTCTAGTCTATAGTCTAGTCTATAGTCTAGTCTATAGTCTAGTCTATAGTCTAGTCTATAGTCTAGTCTATAGTCTAGTCTATAGTCTAGTCTATAGTCTAGTATATAGTCTAGTCTATAGTCTAGTCTATAGTCTAGTCTATAGTCTAGTCTATAGTCTAGTCTATAGTCTAGTCTATAGTCTAGTCTATAGTCTAGTCTATAGTCTAGTCTATAGTCTAGTCTATAGTCTAGTCTATAGTCTAGTCTATAGTCTAGTCTATAGTCTAGTCTATAGTCTAGTCTATAGTCTAGTCTATAGTCTAGTCTATAGTCTAGTCTATAGTCTAGTCTATAGTCTAGTCTATAGTCTAGTCTATAGTCTAGTCTATAGTCTAGTCTATAGTCTAGTCTATAGTCTAGTCTATAGTCTAGTCTATAGTCTAGTCTATAGTCTAGTCTATAGTCTAGTCTATAGTCTAGTCTAAAGTCTAGTCTATAGTCTAGTCTATAGTCTAGTCTATAGTCTAGTCTATAGTCTAGTCTATAGTCTAGTCTATAATCTAGTCTATAGTCTAGTCTATAGTCTAGTTAGTCTATAGTCTAGTTATATAGTCTAGTCTTAAAGTCTAGTTAGTCTAGTATAGTCTAGTCTAGTCTAATCTATAGTCTAGTCTATAGTTAGTCTATAGTCTAGTCTATAGTCTAGTCTATAGTCTAGTCTATAGTCTAGTCTATAGTCTAGTCTATAGTCTAGTCTATAGTCCTAGTCTATAGTTCAGTCTATAGTCTAGTCTATAGTCTAGTCTATAGTCTAGTCTATAGTATAGTCTATAGTCTAGTCTATAGTCTAGTCTATAGTCTAGTCTATAGTCTAGTCTATAGTCTAGTCTACAGTCTAGTCTATAGTCTAGTCTATAGTCTAGTCTATAGTCTAGTCTACAGTCTAGTCTATAGTCTAGTCTATAGTCTAGTCTATAGTCTAGTCTATAGTCTAGTCTATAGTCTAGTCTATAGTCTAGTCTATAGTCTAGTCTATAGTCTAGTCTATAGTCTAGTCTATAGTCTAGTCCATAGTCTAGAATATAGTCTAGTCTATAGTCTAGTCTATAGTCTAGTCTATAGTCTAGTATATAGTCTAGTCTATAGTCTAGTCTATAGTCTAGTCTATAGTCTAGTCTATAGTCTAGTCTATAGTCTAGTCTATAGTCTAGTCTATAGTCTAGTCTATAGTCTAGTCTATAGTCTAGTCTATAGTCTAGTCTATAGTCTAGTCTATAGTCTAGTCTATAGTCTAGTCTATAGTCTAGTCTATAGTCTAGTCTATAGTCTAGTCTATAGTCTAGTCTATAGTCTAGTCTATAGTCTAGTCTATAGTCTAGTCTATAGTCTAGTCTATAGTCTAGTCTATAGTCTAGTCTAAAGTCTAGTCTATAGTCTAGTCTATAGTCTAGTCTATAGTCTAGTCTATAGTCTAGTCTATAGTCTAGTCTATAGTCTAGTCTATAGTCTAGTCTATAGTCTAGTCTATAGTCTAGTCTATAGTCTAGTCTATAGTCTAGTCTATAGTCTAGTCTATAGTCTAGTATAGTCTAGTCTATAGTCTAGTCTATAGTCTAGTCTATAGTCTAGTCTATAGTCTAGTCTATAGTCTAGTCTATAGTCTAGTCTATAGTCTAGTCTATAGTCTAGTCTATAGTCTAGTCTATAGTCTAGTCTATAGTCTAGTCTATAGTCTAGTCTATAGTCTAGTCTATAGTCTAGTCTATAGTCTAGTCTATAGTCTAGTCTATAGTCTAGTCTATAGTCTAGTCTATAGTCTAGTCTATAGTCTAGTCTATAGTCTAGTCTATAGTCTAGTCTATAGTCTAGTCTATAGTATAGTCTATAGTCTAGTCTATAGTCTAGTCTATAGTATAGTCTATAGTCTAGTCTATAGTATAGTCTATAGTATATTTTATAGTATATTTATGTCTAGTCTATACTCTAGTATATAGTCTAGTCTATAGTCTAGTCTATAGTCTAGTCTATAGTCTAGTCTATAGTCTAGTCTATAGTCTAGTCTATAGTCTAGTCTATAGTCTAGTCTATAGTCTACAGTCTAGTCTATAGTCTAGTCTATAGTCTAGTCTATAGTCTAGTCTATAGTCTAGTCTATAGTCTAGTCTATAGTCTAGTCTATAGTCTAGTCTATAGTCTAGTCTATAGTCTAGTCTATAGTCTAGTCTATAGTCTAGTCTATAGTCTAGTCTATAGTCTAGTCTATAGTCTAGTCTATAGTCTAGTCTAGTCTATAGTCTAGTCTATAGTCTAGTCTAGTCTATAGTCTAGTCTATAGTCTAGTCTATAGTCTAGTCTAGTCTATAGTCTAGTCTAGTCTATAGTCTAGTCTATAGTCTAGTCTATAGTATAGTCTATAGTATAGTCTATAGTATAGTCTATAGTATAGTCTATAGTATATTTTATAGTCTATTTTATAGTCTAGTCTATAGTCTAGTCTATAGTCTAGTATATAGTCTAGTCTATAGTCTAGTCTATAGTCTAGTCTATAGTCTAGTCTATAGTCTAGTCTACAGTCTAGTCTATAGTCTAGTCTATAGTCTAGTCTATAGTCTAGTTATAGTCTAGTCTATAGTCTAGTCTATAGTCTAGTCTATAGTCTAGTCTATAGTCTAGTCTATAGTCTAGTCTATAGTCTAGTCTATAGTCTAGTCTATAGTCTAGTCTATAGTCTAGTCTATAGTCTAGTCTATAGTCTAGTCTATAGTCTGTCTATAGTCTAGTCTATAGTCTAGTCTATTAGTCTAGTCTATAGTCTAGTCTATAGTCTAGTCTATAGTCTAGTCTATAGTCTAGTCTATAGTCTAGTCTATAGTCTAGTCTATAGTCTAGTCTATAGTCTAGTCTATAGGTCTAGTCTATAGTCTAGTCTATAGTCTAGTCTATAGTCTAGTCTATAGTCTAGTCTATAGTCTAGTCTATAGTCTAGTCTATAGTCTAGTCTATAGTCTAGTCTATAGTCTAGTCTATAGTCTAGTCTATAGTCTAGTCTATAGTCTAGTCTATTAGTCTAGTCTATAGTCTAGTCTATAGTCTAGTCTATAGTCTAGTCTATAGTCTAGTCTATAGTCTAGTCTATAGTCTAGTCTATAGTCTAGTCTATAGTCTAGTCTATAGTCTAGTCTATAGTCTAGTTAGTCTAGAGTCTAGTCTATAGTCTAGTCTTAAGTCTAGTCTATAGTCTGT